AGGTATTCTTTGAAAGTCTATTTTGCAAAAGCATGTCTATTTTTTTTTTTAAAGTAACCTTTACTTATGAACCACGTTTTGTTGTTTTCTATTCTCCAAATCAATTTTGGGCTACTTTCTTAACAACTTGTACTTTATCAAGATTGCTTTTCCAAGAGTATTAAAACTCGCATACTATTACCGTAAATAACTTTTACTAAAGTATTTGAGAAAGGACCTCTTGGCCAACTGAACACCAAACAGCTATCAGCTATCCAACTCATCATGTCGTGATATTTTCCGTGGAAGTGGAAAATTCATATTGTATGACGGTTTTGGAATTACTTCTATTTTTACTCCTTTAGAAAGTCAGGGCAGTAAGGTCTTCATGTGTACAAATTTGCCACTATTTTTGTATGAACTATAGTAACTAAGTGTAAAATTATAAAGCATTATCTGACACCATAACTTTTATGCCACTACCCCAAGTAGTTGCTAATGGTATTCTTCGGTTGGGATTAAGGTGGTTCTAATGGCAATGATGCTGGTGAGGGAAACTCCAGAAACATATCGTTTCAACTGAATCGTTCTTAATTTTTAATCTCATTACAACTATTTGTCTGTGGTGATATCATGTATCGATTCATGTTAGCCGACCCCAATATCTTTTGGGACTAAGGCTTGGATGTTGTTGTTGTTGTATTACAACTATTTGTCTCTGTTGTTTATTGGCTATTATTAGCCTAAAGAAAGAACATTGTCTTATGAATTTCCCTATGAAACAAATTCTCTATTCTGTCTTGCCTTTTGTCTTTATTTAGTTTTGTGCCACTTGTAATTCATTTGACGTGATTACATAGGTTCATTCAATAAGAGATGCTGCTGCTAATAACTTGAAGCGGCTAGCTGAAGAATTTGGTCCAGAATGGGCAATGCAGCACATCATTCCTCAGGCATGTTTTCTTACTCTTACTATGCATGCTATCATGACTCTGAAACAATATCTTTTGTAAGAGTTTTTATAATAACACCTCTTATGATCTTATCATAAGCAAATCTCCAAATCTATGAGAAGTTATAATAATCTTCACCTTTCATTTTTCTTATCAATGGCTAACCTTCGTAAGGTGGCATTTTTGTAATTGTCCTAAATTCCAACATTTTTTCGTGGAATTGTTCTAAGATAATTTAAAATGACACATTGTGAAAATTAGCCATTGATTAGAAATATGAAGGTGGAGATTGAAAGTTTCATCTATAAACGTCCTTTTATGATAAAAGGTGTTCTCATAAGAATTCTTAAGGATTGATTTGTAGTCTTGTGACATTGGGCTAAAGTCTGCAGCATTGACCAGCGTTCTAAACAACACTCCAACTTTTTTGTGATCAATGTTTTTTGTGTTTTTACATTTTCCGATGTGCTTGAATAATTATTTTTTTTCTCAAAAGTATTTTTTATGTTATGACTTATGAACAAATAATTCTTTCTTTTTTGGCTTTTCTTAAATAAATTAAAATGTTGTTTTGTGCAGCTCTTAGACATGGTCACTAATCCTCATTATTTGTACCGAATGGTAATTCTTCGTGCAATATCATTGCTTGCACCTGTTGTGGGCTCCGAGATTACATGTTCAAAATTACTACCTGCCATTGTTGCAGCATCTAAGGATAGGTATTTAATATAGTATCTTTTACATTGCTTACTTTTAAGCGAGGAGTTTTTTTAATCTTTTGCTTTTTCTTGGAATTGCAAGGGAAAGTGAGAAATGATTGTTCTTTAAAAACTATTTACATGTATGCAGACGTCTTAGTCTAGATGATAGAAATAAATAGAGTAAATAAAATGAGATAGAACAAATATTTAAAATTAATTTGTTATGATTGAGCCTGTCTGTATATGCTTTACTTATTAAATTTGGTGTATCTTGACAGAGTGCCCAACATTAAATTTAACGTGGCAAAGGTTTTACAGTCGCTCATCCCCATCGTCGACCAATCAGTAAGAATCTTCTACCTCCTCTACCTGTTTTTCTCTGACCATTTTTTTGCATTCCTTTCTAGTCACTTTTGGATGAACTTTTTCAACGCATTGTAGTTGGCAGAGAAAATAATCCGTCCCTGCTTGGTCGAGCTGACTGAGGATCCTGACGTTGATGTTCGCTTTTTTGCTGACCAAGCACTTCAGTCAATTGATAATGTTGTGATGTGAAGCTAGATGAAGATTTCATGGCAGGGAAGTTGTAGTTCACTTATGTGCAGGGTATATTTTGTTTCTAGTTAGTGAAGAACTTAGTGAACTTATATATGTTTAAAACATAAACAATCTTGTATTCCTATAAGTCTATAACAATAACCTTTTGTGCTTCTAGTTGATTGTGATTTGTGATCCCTCTTGGTGGGGGAAATGTTACGCTTATTGAGCTGAGCCATATATTTCAAACATAGAAATCATGCTAAGGAAACAGAAATGGTCAAAATTGTAAAGAAATCTATCTTTTTTCCTATTTTTTAAAAATGGTTCTACAGATTGTTAGCAAAGTGAAAGCAAATCTTTAAAGAGCGTTGGTTGATCCAATTAGAACTGGTTGTTGGTTTAAGTATTAGTGTCTCTTACATGAATGAATGCAATTCCAAACTTGAAAGAATTAGAAAAATATAAATATTCCATTAGAACTGGTCATCATTTGTAGCCTCGTAGGGATGTCAATGGAGCGGTTTGGCACGGCCGCACGGGGTTCACTTTCCTATCTCTTGCCCCATTTCTTAAAAATTCTCCCCATCCCCTGTTACTCTCAGACCTGCTCCACTGCATTGTTCCCCACTGCAATGTCACCTCTACTTAGCACATATGAATTAACTTGATTGGAGTTTGTCACATATTATGTAAATGTGATAAACTATGAATAAGAAGTTTGGAGTACATTAGATAGATGTACTATTATGTATATTTCTTTTTTGCATGCTTGGGTTGCCTAAATAATTTTGTTAACTATTATTACGGTGACAGTTGCATCTACTGAAAGAGTATTATCTACTCTTGATTGTAATGACGTGCTTTCAAATTTTACACATCAAGAGGCAAGAAGAATATGGTATTCAGTAGTACTTTAATAGTGTTGAGGTTTATTTCTTCAACTCCAAAGGTCCAACACCTTCCTTTGGGCTTCGTAGAGAATGTTTTAGTGGATTGAGTAAAATGAATGACACAAGCAATAAATGGCAAGCAATAGAGTGTCTAGTAAGTGGACTGAGTTCTTATTACTTGAAAATAACGAACTAATACAGTGGACCCTATTGTTGAACGTCTGTTTCCTAAGTGTCGTTGCCTCTCCGCTCAGGATCTCCGACCACCGACTCTCCTTCCTCCTCATGATTTAGGTAAATTCCTACTTTATTCTTCCGTTACTATTCTTCGGTTTTCCAATGTCGAACAAAAAATCCCCTCATTTGTTTAAAATTTTATAACTTATTTATTTGTTTATGTTTTGTATAAAAATATATATATCAATATGCACTACTTTTTATTTTCCTTCATATGATATCAATATTGCATACATAAAGTTTGAAAAACATTTCAACGGCTGGAGTTTTTTGGACCCAATTTTTTTGGACCGAGGTATCTTACAATTTGTTTTACATCTTTTAGTTATTATCAAATTGCGGTTAAAAAGAAATCTTTTTCGGAACTATTTCGAAATATACTAGCTCCGTTTTAGACTATCGCCCAACCTAGGTTCAAACTTCTTCAAGACTATTCCAAAATATATGGCTAGTCACAACCCTGCTCTACCAATAAATCAAATTCTTAGTCAGTTTATAACAAACTTAGGTGACTAGAAAATAAAAAAATCATAACTGTGAGATCTTAATTTTAGATTTGGATCCATTTAAGAAAAAATTTCAGCGTCCAGTCAACATTTGGAACATCAAATTTTTTTAGTTTGTACATGCAATATTGGTTTCGTATTAAAAAATATAAAAAGTTATAACTTTTAATATATGTTTTCAAAAATAAACAATAAATAACAGAGTTATAAAGCTTCTAAAAAGAGGGGATTATACATTCAAAAATATAAAAAACAAAGTTTAAGCCAAAACTTATTTTAAAGTGCCAAGTTATTTTTTAATTAACTTTATTCAATATTGGTATCATACAAAAAAGTTTATAACACTTTAAATGACAAAAGTTTTTAAAAACAAAAGACAAAAGTTTTTAAAAGACAAAAGCGTGGCAAGTAATTATTTAAAAAAAGTTTTTTTAATGTGCCAAGTTAATTTTATATAGATCTAGCGCAAAGAATAAAAACAATTGTTGGAGTTTGTGCAGTTTTATTTTAAGCCGTCGCTCCTAATTAGTTGTGTGCATAGTAACAAAAGATCTTAAATTACAAAAATTAATAGAATACTTATTTATTTTTAGATATGCAACATTCATACAATATGAAAGATAATAAAAAGTCAATGAATTTGGATTTTGTTTTGTAATAATCAGAGTACAAATACAAAAGATATAGCGCTTTTAAAAAATAAATATTTTTTAAAGTTTCAAATTATTTTTTATTTTTGTATAATCAATATTGATGTTATAGGAAATACTTCCTCCGTTCTTTAATAGTTGCAACAGTTTGACTTTCACGTTTGCCAACGCGCAACTTTGACTTTAATTATATCTAATTAAGTATTAGTAAAAATTATAAAAAGTTAATATTTTGAAAATTCACATCAATAGAAATTTAATGACATTTTATACATAATAATTTGATTTTATATATTAATAGAAAATTGTGGTCAAAGTAAGGTGTGAATAATGCAAATATCCTAATGTTGCAACTTTTAAGAAACGGAGGAAGTATAATATAAAGTTATGAAATTTGATACTACGGGGTTAATTTTTGTAACAACTGGACTACAAATAAAAAAATGATAACATTTTAAAAAAACATGAGATTTTATTTGGTGGGATCCTTGAGTGACACTTTCCTCTTTCACCGAGCTTGTTACATACATTATTTTCTTGCTTTAAAGCCACCACTTCAAGTGATTGTTCTCTTAACTATGATTACTTGAGTAGTATTTTAGGAAATACTTTTAACATAACACTAATTCCAAAAATATTTATTTATGAAAAGTACTCAATATACCAAGACAAAGTGGGAAAATAAGAAGTAATTAAAGTTATTTTAAAGTACTCATATACCATGACAATCTAAGCCTTTTGTTAATTTATAAAATAATTACTTTGAATGCTTTTTATAAATTACTAAAACACTTTTGCATGCAACTTAACACTGAATTACACATCTAAGCGAACAATGTAATTTATTTTATATGCAAAATGATTATTTTGCATTCAATCATTTCACGCGCAGTGATTTAACATATAAACTACCAAAGGAGTTCTAAAATTGAAAATGTATATTATAAAACCGAGTAATGAATAAACAATTTGACTACTTCAGCTGTTTAATTCTTCTCAAGTCTAAAAATTTGAAAAGAACAAGTTCTTGTTTCAATCAAAGAAATTTTTATGCAAGTTTTCAAAGAGTCATGAACAAACTAAAAATGACAAGTCTAAGCACAACAGCTACGGAAAAACGATCGAGAAACACAAGAGAGGTTAATGATCTGACTTTTTTACCATAATTTAATACTCATCAAACATGACCAACATAATCTGGTGAGAGGTAAATATACAGGACAACAACGTTTGACGATTCCTTGTTGTTTAGCAGCTAGTTTCTTGGTCAGATCCCATTCAATGATTCAACCACTACAAATCTCAATCTATGTTAGATTACTGAAAATAGTAATTACACAACTCTCAACGTGGTGTTTGAGTCATTAGGAGACGGTGGTTAGTAATAAAGCTGTTTGATGATCAGCTAGCTAGCTAGCTTCTAGGCCGAGCTAACCATAAAGAGCTGAGAGCACGGAGTCTAGACATGTAGTCGCTCATCGCCAGAAGGGCACGAGCCGCTTGACGTGTCGTCAAGATTCGGTGCAATTGGTGCAATGTTTGCTGCCTCAGTAGATCAGCCTATTGACACACAAAAAACACATATAAAAAAATTATACTTCCTTTATCCCATTGTATTCCCTTGTCCTGTTTAATGCACTAATGTTCTAAATCTATAAACTAAACGTAGAAGGGTAGTAAAATATGGGTTGGTATCAATTACCTGATAGAGCAAGTTCTCTATGGTGGCTAGCTTCCCCATAGCAATCCCCATAAGGTCCATGAAATCACCTACATTCCCGGAACCGAGAGATGCCGATGATAGCGTCTCCACAAGCAGTTGCTGCAAAGCTTCCATTCCTTGTGACAGTGCTTCCTCAGCTTGTTGTGAAGATTGCTGCAAATTGCATATCCCCACTAATTGTTGCTCTGTCAATGGCTCCAAATGACTCACTAGTATCTGGAATTTACCCAACCAAACAGCAGAAAATGTATGAGAAATTAGAAGGAATTAAATGTGGGGAAAACAAAATATTAGTCCCAACTCTATAAACTCTATAACTTGTTTTTTTATATTGTTACTTAGTAGTATGTTTTATTTATTTATGCCTTTAATATAAGACTTGCACACTCAAAATTTATGCAGCTATTTAAAAACATTTTTCATATTTAAAATTCTAGTTTCATTTCATTCGCCAATGTCAAATGAAGACAAAAATAGCCTTCATTGGCAATTTTCTTGTTTCCATTCCATTTTATGAGATTCAAGCATACCATAAGGCTTTGTTAGGCTTCAGTAATATATTTGAAAAAATCCATACTTTTTATTTATTACGTAGTTTTTTTCATTGTAAATTACATCCCGAATTTCATGCATTTCGTGGAACCCGAACATACCCTAAGAATCTCGGAGCAACGAAAGCCGCCCAACCACATAAAGCATCTTTCAGCAGGAGTCTTCCACATTCCCGATAGCAAATGAAAAACATCGGCCTTCGCGCCAATACGCTTTATCCTAAACAGGTCATCGTAATGTGACATCACTCCGTCAACGAGATGACGTAATTCATTATCTCCCATGAAAGAGAGTACAGCCGATCTCAGGTCACTCACTAGCCGTTGATGCTCATCAAGCCAACTACCATATTCCATGTCAAATGCCAAAGCACCTAGAAAAAGTATATACAAATTACAAAATAGTTGGTAATTAGGCCACTTAACAGAAACAAACATGTTATGAAGTAATGACCACTATTGACCAATATAAAAAACAATAGCAAAATTATGACTTTTTTATATTCTATTGGTTATAAAAGCAACTCTAGCGATCATTATTGTGTTCGATTTTACATTTTAGTAATATTTTTATCGAGTTGAATGCATCAAATGCCTTCATGATATACAAATTGTGTGCATTAACCTTTTTTATTTAAAAAATGCATCAAAACCCCCTATGTTATGAATTAATCATGAAAGTGACAACTTGAAGTAACAAATTTAACAGAACAAAATTCGTGTTTCTAAATGTTATGAATGAGAATTCAAGTAAATTTGTCAAAATCTCTAAATTATACAAAAATACTAATCTATTTTCTTTTAATTGATAATTAAGTTTGTATTTCCCGGGTGATGTGCATGATTAACTATAAGATAGGGGGTTGATGTATTTTCAAATACCAAGGGACTAATGCTAGTATTTATATATCACGGAAGAGGTTGACGCATTAAACCTTATTCATATTCATTAATTTTATTTCAATAACCTTATTTCTTTTATCATTTATCTTGTTTATCTTTTTATATTCTTATGTTATTTTTATCTTCTAGCTTTTTTATGCTCTTATTTTTTTTTTCTTTTATCTTTCTTATATTCTTGTGTTATTGTTATCTTATATATATTTATCTTAATTTTTTTCGTTTTATCGTACTTTTTTTCTTCCCTTTCTTGTCCGTCTTTTCTGTTTGGCATCGATATCATAGATCGATTCATGTTAGCCGACCCCAAATTCTTTTGAGATTAAGGTTTGGATGTTGTTGTTGTCGTAACATTTAAAGAGAACCTCACAATCTATTTTCATTTCTCTTTTTTTTACCACTTTAATATGGAAGGGGTAAACTCAAAAGTAAAAGACAAGTGCACATCCAAATAAAGAACTGGGCTTTGTTTGAGTGACAGGGGAGTAAAAAACATCAATGCAAACGTGTGTCAGAGCACAAAAGATAAGTTATGATTTTGCTTGCTAACCATTTCCAACAGAAGAATGGCCTTTATCTCCAACAAATCCGGATGCAGCTGCATATGCTCCCTGTATGAATGTGGTCGTTTCAAACATGACGAAAAAATATTAAACGAGTTTAATTTTACTTGAGGCGATTTAATTGAAAGTTCGACTTATTCATTTGGACATGTACACGATGCGGTTTTTTGGGTATTGGAGTTTTACCCAAAACGCCGTCTTTTTATGCTTAAACGCTGCATTTTGCAGCGTGTTGTAGGCCGCTAGAAATGCTAGATAATCTGTTACTCAATTGAATAATCTGTTACTCAATTGACTAAAGTGAAGAGACATTTAATTCAAATAAGACTTGAAGAAAAAATAAACAACCCCTAAATGCATTGAAATTTCAGCTACACTCTAAAAGATCAGCCTTAAAATTTGAGTTATTGCAAAACCTTAAGAGGATGTTCACAAATTTACAGTACTCGAATCAATGGAGAACGGTTAACATGTCCTACAAAATGTTTGCAAGTCTCAACCAGATTAAGTACTTGATTGAATCACAATCTTTTTGGTTTCTACATCATCTTTTTCAAAACGCGGGTATCCGGCCCGGACCATTTTCGCCTCGAGAAGAGAAACAGCTACATACCTGGTGTTGGCGGGCTAGCTTAAGTTCCTGCTCTAGTTGTGTAAGCCTTACTCTACTATTCTCCAGCTGTTGAACGTATGCCTTTAATACAACAAAAAACAACAAATTGTGGTAAGTCAGGCTAGACCCAATACAATATTATATCAATCATTCTTGTTGTACCCATCCTTATACCCGCCTTATACCCATCATGTCTGTGAAGGTTCACAGACAAAATATGTCTAATTTTGAGTGTGCAAAATAGACAAAAAAGCTTTGCACAAACATGCCAGGTATAAGGGTGGGCACAAATATCTTTTTTGATATTATTTTCATTCCACATACACACTATGGAATGTGGTAACAGACTTTTTTATAACAATATTTGAAAATCTCATGCATTACTTTCTTCCTCAATCTGCTTTTACGAGCAGCTTCTCTGTTCTGAGCTAGTCTACGAAGAGCCTGCAGGGAAGGGAAAACATTAATTAGCTACAATAAATGAAGCACGGAAACTACCGGGAGAGAGTGTGCATGCCTGTGTGTGAAGCACGGAAACTACCGGGAGAGAGTGTACACCCCATATTGTCTGTGTTACGAAGAAATTTGGTTGGTATTTATAATCTAACTACATGTGATACCGAATTACCGACAAAATTTGGAGGAAAAAATGGTCAGCATCACAAAAAAATGTCTTTGATACTCGCAGTATCACACGGAGTTTGTATTAAAACCCAACCAAATTTGTCTCCAAGATAAACAGTTTAGATGTGCACGTGCATGTATACACATACGGGCATTACACAAAGCAACTTTGTAAAATATTACATTTGCAGTTTCCACATTCCCCACATTTCCGTAACAATTAGAAAAGAACTTTTTGGTTTGCTATTTGAAGATAAGAAGAGATAAGTGAGGTACCTTTTGCTCCCCCAGCTTTCCTTTAGGCTTCTCTGGTCCTATTATAGCACCATGTGTGACGCCAATGCTCTGAATGAACATCAAATTTAAATATTTGCAAACTGTTACTGTAATGACACAGCAAGTTAAAGTAAGCATTATGTGATTATAGTTATTTCCTCTTCTTTACACAAATCTCAACCACACAATTTTAACTTTATAAATCCACGTGCTAATCAAAATTAGCCAAGTTTTGTGGGACGGAGGGAGTATATCTTCCAAAGAACTTAGAATGTTTGTAAACAAACTTGTTTCAATCCCATATGAGGTCATCCTTGAGCAGATCATATATTACTACACTTACACAAACTAAATCGAACCAGACTTCGACAATAGCAAAAACTAAAATACTAAATACCACTGTTCTAAAAATCGGCCTAGTTGGACCGATTAATCAGCCTAGTCGGTCCTAATTGTAGATGACTAATCAGCCTAGTCGGTCAAAAAATCAGCCTAGTCGACCACCTAGGCCCTAGGCGCCCCTCAACCGCTTGACTAGCGCCTAGCGAGTTTTAGAACAATGCTAAATACATCTACAAGACGAAACATTTAAACAATACACGAATAAGAAAATTTCAATCCAATCAAAAACATAAGGAGAATGTTACTCTTGCTAGGCCTTTTTATGCTTATGCCTTTCATAGAGGACCTTTCTATAACTCCTGTTTTCAGAACATCTTTATGAAACAATTAATAAAATATAAGGAGTGTTACTAGTGTTTGGACTTTTTAAACTTGCTTTCCAAAAAAGATATTTTATTTTGATAAAAAAACTTTAAAATTGTCTTGCCAAACACACCATTAGAAGCTTGTTATATATTTTTAAATAGTACAAAAAATTACTCCTAATTGCCAAATTATTTGATGTGTAAGTCAAAAAATTACTCCTAATTGCCAAAAAATTACAAAAAATTAGTAGTTTTTATTTTGATAAAACCTCTTTAAAATTGATACTCCTAATTGCCAAATTATTTGATGTGCAAGTCAAAGTTTTTGGAATAAATAAAAAAGTTAACAAAAATATAACGATGGAAGGACTTATAATGAGTGTTACTCTGTATGTAAGGATAGACCCAAGTCCCTACGCAGATCTGCCTCTGCCAATTTGATGCTTTCCCAGAAAAGTAATTTTAGGGATTTACTTTATTACTTGGTCCAAAAGGTGGAATCTCCCATCCCATAAAAAAGTTAATCACGGTGACTAAGTCAGCAAAGCGGCGGTAGGTCTTGCGCACCAGAGATCCAGCCTTATTTCAGGTTCCGTAACCTTCACACGGTCGTTCCGGTTTCGCACGGTCACTTGACCAACTGAGCGACCCGTGCGGGTGGATTTACTTTATTACGGTACAACTTTAAAGTGAAATTGTATATTCCTTGAGCCCCCAACTTTAATTTTACGCCCCTACCCATTCCAGTTCTCCAATCTACCTTTTAGCCCTGCGGCCCTATCCACAAAATGTCAAATCAAATTTTCTTTTAAATAAATAAAAAATCGCACACTTTTAAATTTTGTAGGGAGTATAATTAGTCTTTTGTCTCTTTTTGACCGTCAACCTTATACAGTATCTCCTTCAACTAATCCCCTTTTAAATTGTTTTTACCTCATGCTAGGGTTAACATTTCTAATGTAAAAAGTGAAGTAAAATAGTACTCCGTACTTCGCAGGGAAAATGGGAGAAAGTACTGAGGAGTAAATGAGAGCATACTAAAGGTACAAGATGAAGTTGCTAAAATAGAAACAAAATACATACGGACTACTAAAAAACTTTTCAATTTTACAAATATAAAAGTCTCATTTGAACAATTTTGGACAAAGAACAAGATTTTGGCTCTAACAAAGACATTAAAATCACCAAGTTTGAATTGAATAGATCTATTTTAGTATAAAGATCAAAGTACTTTTTTAGGAAAAGATGAAAGTACTCCATTTGTGAGTACATGTCTATATTGCACGGAAAAGCAAAAATAAAGAGGAAACGGGAAACGAGAAACATCAACTTTTGTTTAAAAATTTAAGAATCCGTAATTTAATCTAGAAATGTTTAAAATATACTCCTCCAATCCTTATATAACTTTACACTTTCTTTTTTGGACCGTCCCGTATTAAACTTTACACTTACTTATTTGCCTTATTTGACAAACAAATCTACACAAAACATTGCCAAACAGTGTCAAACAATGCCAAAAAGTGCTAAAAAGTGTCGAGAAGTGTACTCTACAGTAATGTCAAATTTATTTCTTTAATGTGTGTGAAGTCAAAGTGTAAACTTCACTTACTCTGTAGTGTACATTGAGTCATTGACTCATTGTTTTGGTAATAAAATCACTCGGAGGTATTTAAAAAAGATTTTTATCACATAGTTTAGACTTTAGAGTTTTAACAACTCAAGACTTCGAACAATTAAACACTGCTAAAGATTGTAGAGTATATTCTACAAGGACCAAATTGGTTTCTAAATAATGACAAATATATGATTAAAATAAAGCAATTGACAAAAATATCTCACAGCTTTTATACTTTTGTGAATATAATAGCAACTTTAATGAGTTTTATACTTTTGTGTATATATATAGCAACTATAATACGTAGTAGTAACTTCAATGAGTATGATATGATACATTTGAAATAATTAAAGTAATATTTTGGTCTCTTGATGTTAATTAAATTCGAATAATATTTAATGAAAAAGCTGTTAGTTTCCACACTTATACGGAGTATTAAGTAAACTATATTTTCAATTTTTTAGCAATTATACAATTTTTCATATGTTCCGGCCAATTGCCGGCCGGCGCACTAAAGGTTAACAATAATATACGTACCTGAACTTTCTCTTCCGTGTCCACATCGGTGGAAGTGTCATCGGTCTGCTGGCTGTGCTCCGCCGTCCCAGAGTCTCCACAGTTCTCAATATTCCCATATCCCACGGCCCCGCCACCACAACTCGCCACCGCCACCGCCGTCCTTCTACTGCCTCTCTCCACCATATACCTTCCTCCGGCGTCCACCACCCCCGTCTCCGATGACCCAATGCTCTGCACACATTTCACGCAATTCAACAACAACCGAAAAATTAAACCTATGAATATGTCAAGATAATATAGGAAACAAAAACCCATTTTTTTTTTTTTTTCATCGAACGGTCCTAGATCGAGAGACAGAAGAAAACGTACGGTGTTGATTTCGCCAAAGTGCATGCTATTGGGAGAGACAATGGATGAATTATTGCTTCGCCTCATGTCATTATAAATTGAGCCTATATATAAAAGATTTCATCAAAACTTCCAAATTTAATTTAATTTCAACGTAAAATAATGCATGGGTAAATTAATTTACTTAATATACACAAAATTACAAAACAGAGAAAGTGACTGAGAGGGAATTGAATACTTCTGCTACAATCAAGAAAAGCATCTTCGTGGTGGTGAAAGGGAGCAGAGTGGGATAGTTCTCCGACGTCAAATAAACGGCCGCCGGCGCCGCCACTCCCACCGTCATCACCTCTACTCAAAACACACAAGTTAAAGATGACTCTTATTCAAATACTCTGAGTTCAAGTACCAAAAAGAACACCCAGAGTTTTCAAGAAACAGAAGAAGAGGAAAAAGTGAGGTCAAACCTGAGGTAAAAACCAGAGTTAAAAAACATATCTGAAGAGCTCTGCATTTTAGTACTCTCCTTCACTGTTTGCAAAAGTTGATGATGGTCTGGTCTGCATATATTTATATTTTTATACACATATATGCCTTGTATGCAATTATTCCTGCAATGGGTATCTACTCCACCAGTCGAAAAGGAGGTGAAGAACAGAGGAATAAATAAAAAGAAAAGAAAAGGATGTGGGGACTGGGAGAAGGAGAGAAAACAAAATAAAATTAAAAACGTTTGGTTTGGGTTTGGTGTGTGAATCTTGAAGATATCTTTTGCAACAGAGAGTTGATAGGTATCAGCAGGGGTTCTTTTTCGTTAATTACAAATCTGTCAGACTCGACTTCAGATTTGTACTCTTTACAATAGTTCTTCGGCTATCCTAAAAAACCCAGCTAAGTTAAATCATTTTTAACAAGCTAGTTGCAACATTTTGAGCCCATTTCATAATCATTATTTTTAACTTTTAATGTTCATCCGCTAACTTTTTCACAAAACACGTAACGTTTGGTTTCTCACGCTGAATTGTGTAATAATAAGAAAAAGTAAAGTTGAAATTATCCTTATGACTGTATTGGTTGAATTTACTATAGAGAATCATTTTAGCTATTTTTTAATATAATTTTTTCTTTACATCATTAATAATATACGAAGTACGATAGTATATTTTAACTATATTGTTTTCACAAATCAAAAGAATCAGCCAATGCAGTCACTTCAGCCAAAACTTCATAAATTTCAGCAGAATCAGTCAATACAGTCGATTCGGGTATTACCAAATGCGCCTTTTAAATGAACACTAATGTATAATTTTCTACTTGAAAATTTATTTTTAAAAAAATCATATTTTGAGACATTTTAATGGAGTGATATACAGAGTACTTCCTACTCCTTACTACCTCCGTCCAGTGTTCTAAACGGGCGTGAGGCGTGGCAAGCCGTCGAGGCCAAGCCTCAAGCCTTTGAAACCTAGGCGAGAATAGGCGAAGCCTAGGTGTGAAAAAGTGTTCTAGATTTCTATTTATAATTACTATTTTATAGTGATATATGAAGAAAATAAATAAATGTTCGAAATATATTACACAAGATTTAGTCTAATTTTTACTTTGCTCAATATGTATAATTTTTAAATGTATAAAAAGTTCATCACAAAATGATATATTGTTGTTTTTTACTATTCCATGTTAGATTACGTATATACGACTACAATAACTTCAGTCAACTTAGACAGAAAACTAACTTTAACCTAACTTATTTTGATTATTACATAATTCAGCGCGTGAAGTAAAAATTGGCCCGTATGTGTTTAGTAAAATAAAATACTTGGCTGATAAGGTTTATATAACAAAAATAAGAGTTATTAAATGGGCTCTAATTCAATCACTATTATTATTAACATTATTGTTATTTAGGACAATCGTATATTACATTAATACCAAGAAGAATTAAATGTAATAGCAAGAGCATTGTTGATCTGCTGAATGGAGATAATTAAATTTATAAGGGGCAATCCATGTACAAAATTCAATGGAGCATTTAGCATCTAATTCGTATTGGTTTTCTTGTTTCCTTTCCCATTCTCAGTTTTCCCACACCGATAGTAGAGGAGAATTCACCTCTGGAATTTTAGTATAAAGTAGTCTTCTCCACAAAGGAAGAGACTTAAGGTTTGTGCGGACCTTCTCTGTGCTAATTTTCGGCCCAGACCCTCGGGTTTATTTAATGGGCCACCTTCTCTCACGCCTATTAGGTGTGCGAGGCGTTTAACGGGCGCCTCAAGCCTAGGCACTCCTTTGCGGCGCCTTTGACCGCCTTTTAGAACACTGCCTCCGTCCCAATTTACTTAGCCATCTTTGACTTTTTCAGTCAAATGTGCTAAATTTTGACCAATTATTTAAACTAATATTGATGGAGTATATGGCCCAGGAACCCCCCGGCCCACATACTTCCGCTATTACGTTCAGGCCCAACAGGCCCAAAACGGGCCAAGCCCAGCATAGTGAAGCTCTAGGCAGCCCACGAGGCATGAGGGGGGTGTCATCGGCCCCATGGCCGAAGGCCACCAGTGACAGAATAGGATTCAGAAGCATCGCAGGAGAACGAGGCTTAAAAACCAAGCCTTCGGCACTAAGAGCCCTTGGCAAAATGAGGCCCCCAGTACGCAAAGCCTTCGGACTGTTATCTACGGCCGAAGGCATCCTTCTCGACAGGATCTCCCATCCACATGCGCTGGATCAACGTACCAAGTACAAACGTCGCATCCAACCACCGCATTTAATGCGGCCACATGCGAATGCCAGTGCCACCTCGGTTGAGGTGACCCCTCGACCACCAGATTGTTGACATGTGTCCCTATTTAGCATTTATTGCTGCTATAAATAGCACCCCTTTCCCCATTTGTAAACCACGCTCAATACAGCTAAAGTTCACATAATCGAATACTTTCTCTCTTTTCTTATTTGCTCTGACTTCTCTCTAGTTACTCCCCGCAGTAACCCCTCGGATAAGCTACCCCCGGGTACACTATCCATCATTTGGTGCTCTCGTTGAGAGGTCGAACAATCAAGTAAGAACCCTCCCCTTCAGCTCAAAACACCTACCAAAATGGGAAGAACCACCCGTGTTCAGTCCAAGAACCTTGAGGACAACAACCTGGCCCTCGGTGAAGTCAATGCCCCTGGAGCCTCTAACAAGGCTCCCGAGGCGGGGTCATCACTGAGTTCGAACAGGCTGTTGTTGACCTGCGCCTTCAGCTCCAGCAAAACGCTCCCGATGCCTGCCTTAGCATCGAAACCCGGAGGAGGGACCAGAGCGAAAATCAAGTGAGCCCTCTGGTTCTCACTATCGACGTACAGTTGGCATTCTCTGCCTTCACCCAAACACTCACTCAAAACCCAGGTGCCTTCGGCACTCTGGTGCCCCTTCAACCGCAAATCGGGGAGAACACTATTCTTCTCCCACGTCCACCCCCCTTCATGAACCCTACCCCTCGGGTGGGGAACGACAAAGGGGTCGTAGCTCAAGACACCGCCTCCCAGGAAGTCCAATCCCGGGACCAACACGGTGCGAACAAAGAAAGGCCTCAGACCTCGGCCCTCGAGAGGCTCGGAGGAGCGCAAAACCGCCGAGGGGTCCAAGACCGCCTCGGTGGAAAGGCATCCCAAAGACCCCAAGAGAGCGGGGAATCCGTCTCAAGGGCAGACGAGAGGCATCCCCATCAGGACAAAGGCAAGGCACCACTCCATGTCGATGACACAAGACATCAAATCAACCAGGCCCACTCGGTCCATGTTCGTTCGCAGGGGGCGGAGGCCCTCCCGAAGGATCACAGGGACGAGATTATTACGGCCCTCCAGCACCGGCTTGATGAAATGGAGGCCCATCGAGCACATACCGCTATCGCCACCCCTCATGCAGATCCCAAATATGAGGCCATGATGGCCAAAATGGAGGAGTGCAAAAGAGAATAGTCGAGGGCTCCGGGGAACCCGTCATCCAACTCCGGACTAGGATGCCATTTACCCCAAGGGTATTGGCGGCCCAAATTCCGGAAAAATACCGGGGCAACCCATCAGGCCCTATGAAGGAAAGACAGATCCCCAAGACCATTACATCAGATATCAGAACAGTATGATGATGGTGGGGGCATCAGACGAATATTTGTGCCGTTGGTTTCTCTCCACCTTAGAGGGACCAGCATATGAATGGTTCAACCGACTGCCCCAAGGCTGCATCGATTCATGGCAGGAACTCACCCAACGTTTCTTGACGCAGTTTGCAGGGAGGCACCGGTCAATAAAACATTTCTCCCACTTGCTGACGATGAGACAAAGAAAGGAGGAGACCCTTCGGGACTTCTTGGAATGCTGGAGGACGGAGGCGGATAAAGTTGATGACGCTGACGATGGGACCCTCCTGGACCTCCTTCAAACAGTCCTCCGCCCTGGGAACTTTTCAAGGAGCATCATCATCGAACCACCCCGCGATTACATAAGGGCCCTACAGCGGGGGGGGGGGGGGACCGGTACGCCGAGGCTGAGGAAGTGGAAAAATGTCATCACAATCCCGATCAGCAACGCCCTCGGCCAAATGACAAGGGCAACCGGGGGCCGGGGGCTCCCCCAAATCAATCCAAAAGCTCGGCGCCCCCGGTGATCGCTCCCGGCATGGCCAAGCCAAGTCCGGGGGAGGTTACAAGGGCAACCCGAAGGCTTGGGCCCAGCCCATTCTCTTGGAGCACCCTCGGACGCCCTTGACACACCCCGTCAGTGTCATCCTAGACTTCGCCGAGGAGAGGGGCCTAGTGGAGCGCGACTCTCGTGCACCCCTAGAGGTATCAAACCCAATTATCCTTACTGTCGGTTCCATCGCAACCAAGGGCACAGGACCGACGACTGCCATTAGCTGAAGACGGCCATTGAGAGGTTGATACAGGCAGGCCACCTATCTCAATTCATCAGAGGCCCTCCTCCCCAGGGAGCCCCTCACTGCCAGGGGCCCCCTAAGAAAGCAAACGCTTGGGTCAACCCAAACACCATCCCCCTCGGCGACCCGAAGGGTAAGAAAAGGGAGATTGGGAACCTCGATGAGGAGGAAGAGTACAGCCAGTACCAGGAGAAGAAGCGCCACATCCACATGATCACTGGCGGCAACACTGGAGGCGACTCCACGAGCCAAAGGAAGAAGTGGGCTCAATCCCTCTACGTTGGGGAAGTCAACCATATACCCCGAACCAAGAGGCCGAGGGTGGATCCCATCTATTTCACAGATGCAGATCTGCCCCCGGGTGCCCTTCCTCACAGGGATGCCCTCGTCATCTGAACGGAGATCAATGACACCATCATCCTCCGGACCTATGTTGATACCGGAAGTTCCGTCAACGTGATGTATCTCAGCACCTTCCGAGAGCTTCAACTTGATATGGGAGCCCTTCGGCATATCAAGACCCCCTCTCCGGTTTCACTGGGGACAGCATCGACGCCGAAGGCGTCATCACCCTTATGGTTGAGTTCGGCGACGGGTCCCATAGAGCCAAGCTCGAAGTGGAATTCATCATCGTCAACCTCGATTGCGCACATAATATCATCCTCGCCCGGCCTGCCCTCGAGGACTTGGAAGCCGTCATCTCTATGAGGCACCTCTGCCTCAAATTCCCCACACCTACTAGCATCGGCTACTCCAGGGGGAATCAGAAGCTCTCCCGGGCTTGCTACCTTCAACTCACCAAGAAGGTAAGTAAAGCTGAACTTCGCGTTGACACAATCACCGCCGCCTTGGACGAGGAGAAAGGCAGGCCGAGGGCTGAGCCCG